TTAATTACATTTTTGTTTTACATTATTTTTCAAAAATTGAAAAAAAATGAATATGAATATAGTAATTCTTATAATTCTGTGTCTTAATAAAATATTAGTAATTTACTTTAACTTCTTATATAAGTATTTCTATAGGTTAATCCTTTTCAGAAAAATAGCAAAACAAAAAATAAATGTTCGTGGATTTAAGAATTGATAAGTGATTTTTTTTGATAAACTAGACCTTTTTTAATTCCAAACACTGCCTTAGTTTAACCTAAAATATTTTGAAATATACAACAAGATGTGATAAAAATACATGAAAATATTAAAAAAAATTGTTTTTTTGTGTATTGGAAACTTTTAAAACTTTTTGAAATATTTTCTTGAGATAAAGCCGAAATTTTTAAAGTTACGGAAATTTCAGAGCATGAATTTTTTTTTATCGTTGCAGAAAAAAATTATTAGTTTTTAAACTTCAAACCATTAATATGCCACTTCCATTTTCTTAATACCTAATAGTTCTTTTCAAAAAACAAAACCCAGTTTTATTTTTTTCTTCAAAAAAGTACCATTCATTAATATAAATTTTCCGGTTGAAAACGTTGTAACTCTTTCTTCTCTGTGAGAATCGTTTCTTTGAAGGCAATTTATTCGATGCTTTGGCGAGATCATAAGAATCTTATTGTTCGAATCCTTTTATCCGTTAGAGCCTCGAAGCAATAGTTGGGATTTAAGGTCAGAGAGTAACCTGACCCTGGAGCTTTTATTTCCTAAGAGAATCTCAAGTTTTATTTGAGGGGGAATTTTCATGAGTGTTAGCGAGGAAAAAAAAATCTATCTCACCGTATACTACAGAAATATTTCAACTTTACGTGCTTGCTTGAGAATTCAATGAACAAAGGGGAGGAAATAAATGAAAATAAAGTTGAGGGACTAGAGGTAATCCACGTTTTATAGAAACGCAAAGCAATTGTTGTATAAAAATTTGACGTGCATACAAGATTTACAATGCCGAACTTACTATTTATTTGAGTTAAAATGCATTACTTTACTTTTTTTTCAAAAAGGATAGGGTGGGATATCAGTGGCGTACTTTTCAAAGATTCAAAATGATCCTTGATGGCTCAGGGGATACAGCGTTTGCCTTCCAGTGAGGTGACCCGGGTTCGATTCCCAGCGAAGGCTGGTCGATACGAATTTACATCCGGCTTGTACCAACCACAGTGCTGACGAGAAATATCCTCAGTTGTAAACGGATCATGAGTCCAGAGTCCCTCTGCCATCAGACTAACCGTAGAAGGTTCTCATGGTCTTCCTCTCCATGTTAAGCAAATGCGGGTTAGTTTCATTAAAGAAGGCCTCCAAGAAGGCAGATTATTTTGAATACTTGATATCAGGAATTCCCTTGTCTTCTGGATTGGGTTCAAAATTACAAGGCTACGGAGTTAAACAATAGTAGTCGTGAACACAAAAATTGGGTCGACTGTTCAACGATGGTTATATACAAAAGATTCAATGTCGATTTTCATTGATAATATTTAGGTAATTTAATTAGTTTTTAATGCTTTACGTTGATCAATTAATTCAGAGAACAAATAGCATTAGCAAAATTAAATAAAGTTTAAGGACTTCTTGCAGTTAAATTTGTACATATTTAAAACTTTCCAATTGAAATCCGTAGAATTAGGCATCTTTTACATCAGTCTGATAAGTCAGCTATCCAATTATTAGTCAATAGTTAAACGGATAGGTTAACTCTTCATTATATTAAATAAAAAGTGCAGCTGATGTCTTACTTTACCAATCGAACGGTGCAACAAGTGCCTCATAATAACAGTCGAATATATCAGTCAATATCTCATAATATCAATCAAACTTTGTCACCAATATCTCATAATATTAATCAATTTTGTAGCTATTATCATATAATGTCTGTCGAATAGTTAAACTAACATCTTATATTTGATTGCTTGTTGAAACTTGTAGGTATTTCAACTCGTACATGTTTTATCAGCAATCACTAGATTTATATATTGAATTTTTTTAATATTGAGTTTCTGAAATCTCTAGTGTGAATAACTTTCTTTCTTCAATTGTGAAAAATATTCTAAAAATTTATAAAAACGGTAATTAAAATTACATCACAGCAACCATGCCTGGTTTTCTGGTAATAAAAAAAGCTTTTTTAATCGCTGTTAATGATTCACAAAATATCTGATAGAAAGTCTAGGTCAGAAAACTGTTGTAAACCTAAATAGAGATATAAATCTTTAAATTAATATATTTTGGTAAAAAAGTTAAATTTTTTTAAAAAATCAAACAGTCATTTTTCAAACATGCACATCTCGAATTTATTTAATTATAAATTTATATTTTTAATAGAAATATTTCGAAACTCTAATTACTATTAACCATTGCAGTTTAGATCAAATGTATTCCTTAATTAAATATTACAAAACAATACCGTCACTACTATTTATAAATATTAAAAAGTGATACAAATTATTAAAAAAAAACATTTCGACATAAATATTTCGACACAAAATATAAGACTCATGAATAATTTAAGTATTCATATATTCACTTATTTTCCATAACTACGGAGAAGTTCTATCAGTAGTGTAAGGTATCGAAAATGCAAACTATATAATTTAAAGTACTTGAAAGTGTATGCAAAATTATTTTGAATTTTAATGTCCAAAATAATAAGCAAACTCTAAACTCATGTTTATATATCATTACTATTACTATTATGAGTAATTAGCATCTTTTATCTATTCCGAAATCTTCTAAAACATCAAACATTTAAGTCAATGAATTTGAGATACTTTTGAATTCATGATGAAGCTCCATGTTTATGCATAAACTGCCTAAAGTCAGATGGTTAAAAGGAGAGAATGAAATTATGACTGCCGGATATATGAAGGCAATGATAGGAGAAACTTTATATCAAAAATCTTCAAATCAGTAAAAGCAACATTTATGATGCATTAAAATTTAAATACCCTATTGAAAGTGCTCTGCAAGATATATGCTAATGATTTGTAGAAAAGTGTTAGAAAACTAGCAAATTTGTTTTAGAATGTTTAGTGGATGTAAAAAATCTGAATACATGTTACCTCATACAATCACAAAATGATTTAAAAAAATTAAGAAAAAGGCAAAATAATTGAAAATAACATTTAAAATAATAATAAGTCAAAATAGAAAAACTCTAAAAGCAGCTAAAACCAAATTTGTATTATTTAAACAATTTGGAAAGTTCGAAACACAAATTAAGCAAAAAAAGAAGAATTTTTAAAGTTATGTATGCCAGTAAAATTCCTGCAGTGGACTGATGGTTCCCAGTAGAGCACAGGAGTCAAGTATCACTGGCTGCGGTCAGTAAGCGGGTGGATAACCATTTTGAGTAGCCGGTGGAGGAACCAAGTCTGCGTGGTCTCGGTCCCCGTTAAACTGTTCTACCATTAAGTGCTCGACTTCGCGCGCAGGTGGTCGGGCTACCAAAACAGGGAAGTCATCCCCTCTGCAGAGAATCAAAATCGCAATGGCATGTCTTCGGATCATCCTCAGGGATATTTCCCAGACCGTCGCCTATAGCCAATTTTGCAAATCTAGTGCGATGCAAATGAAGTACCTACTCATGTTAGCAAAAACGGTACTTCATCAGGGGGCACAATGTCTGCTAACACACAGAAACCTTTCTGTTGTCACTGTTATTGCCTCATTCGCAAAAGTTAACTCATAAATTTTTATATAAATTTTCAACGCTGTAAGAAAAGTAATTCTATGATTTGATGCGTGGAAAAATATTTTAGACTCAGAAATCTACGATGTAAAGAAAAACAACAGCATGGAAATCTTGTGTGATTTAATTATGAAGTTGCTAATTTTTTTTAATAAAAATGCGCTATATATTTCAATAGTTTATGATTTATTCTACAACTTTTATGACATGATCGTAGAAGAAAGTAGGTTGCTGTTTTAAATTTCTGCTTGTAATTTCAAATTAATTGCATAATGAAGGAATTTAAAGTATTTCTCAAGATGACATGCTCATTATGCACTGACTCATATATTTTTCCATACTTAAAGTTACTTCTGTTTAATCAGTTTAATTCGATAATTATTAAATATTTAATATCTAAGTAGCATCAACATGGTTCTTGATCCTTTTTGCACCTTATGTGATCTCCAGGAAGAGATGGATTTCTCACACCTGTTAAGATGCCCTTCTCTTCTCCGGACATGAATCTTGGAGCGCTACTGGATAGCTCACTCTTAATTATAGATTTACTGTTATCTTTTTGATATTCAATTGTCTTTCAATGTGCCATTGGAAGTTAAAAAAAATCATTACATAGCAATACAATAAATAATGATTAATAATGATAAATATAGGTTAATAAAATTAAATATAAGTTAATAAAAATAAATATTAAAGTTACTTAAATATTCCTTACCGCCATTGTGGAACGAGTTTGAATTGTTTGGTTTTCCCAATGCCCACCCGGAATTTGGTTTTCCTGATTCGGGTATCACAAGGGCAGATTCTGTTGACCGCTGTCTCAGGAGCGCTATATTAAGTGGGTCAACGTTATTCCTCCAATAAGAAGGACATATAGTACAGAGAAGAAAAGAAAAGAACATCCATGCCTTATAAAAATTCGACCCATGGACCTTTCTGACTTGAGATCAGCTTCCTGATCACCATACAGCCGGTCGGCTAATTTGAATTCTTGCATAAATATTTTCGAATGTCTATTAGATTTTTAAAATTCTGAATAGTTTCAATATTTGGTTTAAGACTTACTTTTGTTATATATTCCATGAAAAAAGTTATTATTACTGATTGAAAAAAAGAGAATTATTAACCAGCCTGTTCATAGTAGGATTTTTTTAATAACCAAAATAACTTTTTAATAACTAAAATTAATAAAACAGAAATTCAACAAAATGACATTTAAGAAAAAAACATATGTATTATTTATGTGTATATATATGTATAATTAACTTACTTTGAGTAAAAGGATTGAACTTGCACATGAATTCACCAAGAGCAAATACTGGATATGTAAGAGTGTTAATAAAATGAGGTCCCATGCAAAATATGCATATCAGTGCATCTGCAACAGCCAAGTTTGCAACATAATAGTTTATAGTTGTCCGCATAGATCTATTTAGAGCAACAGTCAGAATGATACTAATGTTTCCAAGTATTCCGCCCAAGATAATAAATACGTAAGCTACAATCTTAAAATAGTCCGTGACAATCAACGTCTTGAAGATGTATGGTTCTCGAAAGTATGTATGGTTCTCATAACTTGGTAGCGGCATATTCTTAAATGATTGAAGATCTTCTTCGCATAAAGTGTCGTTTAGCGACATGTTTTCTATTTCTGCTTAACTGTTCTTGAAATAAATAATCTTTATTTCTTTTTAACCAGACCAGAAAAACTAAATATCCTGGAAAAACAGGCAAGTTATAATAAGTCTCGCACAATAAAAATGATGATTAAAAATATCACATTCTGGCCTCTTGGAATCTTTTGTAATACTTATGAACTATAACTGTTTTATTGGTTCCTCTGATGTGTTCTTTATTTTTGGTTTATCTGTGTTACCATTTTCTTTGGTTTACTGATCATTCCTGTATTATGTTCTAGACATTGCTTGGCATGATAGAGATACCTGAAAAGAGATATCAACAAAGAAATTGCATCAACATATCAAAAATTTTATCTTAAATTTAAGAGTGTGTTTTAAAGAAATAAATTAAATCATTTCACATTACACACACACATTTACATACATATATATATATATATATAGTCGGTTAAATCTGCAATAAATCCGATGATTCTCCTTCTAGCTAACGTTAATATCTATACAAAATACATCGTACGATATTGGGATATTATTAGGAGGACAATAGCTCTTATTCTCTAAATACATAAGGCATTAATACCAGACAAGTGAATGTGTGACTATTGTCTCTAATCATAAAGCGTCAGTATAGGAGGACAGTGATTGCCCAACAAGTGTATACCGGAAAATAACCCGCAATCCTAATAATAAAATTTAAAAAAATACATCACTGTAAGAAAAACTAGGCAATGACTCAAGCTTAAAGAAATGAGTGTAGATAATAGATGGATCTTGAGTTTAAAACACACCTTTGTGAAGAATATCGGACAATGATCCTGAAAATCAAACAATGCTCCTTCCTGACTTAAAAAAATCAATTGACAATCAGATTAATGAAAAGTATTATCGTACAAGAATTTTTGACACTATACCAGTATTAAAATTTCATTCTAAAAATGTGAACAAATTTTTAAAAAATCTGGAGGTGTAATGCTAAATGCCAAAAAAATTTAAACCTTAAAATATAGTAAAGTTCTCGTGAGGAGCAAACGAGCTTATTTTAAAGTTTTATTTACAAAAATATTTGCTAAACGTAATAAAACTACTTGATAAATATACAGAAATATATAAAATATTTAAAACTGTTTTGTTTTTGTGTCATAGTACAAAATTGCTGGGTCGCTTGGCTAGTAAATAATAAAAGTTGCCTTATTAACGGAAAATTCAATACACCAATAATGAGTAATAATAATTCACAACAAAGTATATCCGATTCTTATAATAAAAAACATTAACTGCGATCCTTTGATGCATCTTTAGCCTATTTTGTAAAACAATGGCCTTTATATTACTGGGTAGTTGGAATTAAAGCTTCATTTTACGACATGGACGACACGTGGGGTACGATACGATTCTTATCTCACTAACTTGTCTTACTTTATTTACTTTCTTCAAAAATATCCTCAACTTTGGATAAAAATAAATTTCAGAATGTTTGATCTGTTTAGTTTGTTTGAAAGCGGCCAAGACCATCAGGTCGTCAAATCTTAAAAGTAAAAAAAACAAACATGAGCAAATGAGCATATGTGCGACGACTGCAAAATGCACGTCTTGATCTATTTCTGTTATTTTACCGTCGCATTAAAAATATAACTCAAGAGAAACTTGTCAATGGATCTCTTTTTTTTTCTTTTTTTTTAGGGAAAAGAAGATAAAATGCAAAAAATAACCGATCATTTCTTTCCAGAAAATATATTGAATAATTTTTTAAACACAAAGATTTATAAAAAAATACGAAAATGTCCTTGTCATTATTTGAAGAATTATTTTTAATTATTTCAAATTAGTTAAATAAGCATATTTTAATAGTATTTCTTGAAATTGTACATATGTAGTAACTTTTCAATTGCTAGAGATTATAAAAGTAAAAATTATCAAAATTTCCTTTGTAAGATTTCTATGTAGCCATATTTGTTACCAAAAATAGTAAGAATTTGCCTTATCATGCAAATATTTTGAATATAGCTGTAAATTAATGATGCATTAATTTACATGTGCTATATAGTTTAATACATATGTTACCTGCAAGGAACATAGAATATTTTAAATATTGATGCAGATGTAAATTTTCAAGTAATCTTATTTGAGATTTAAGTGCTTTCACTTTTTCAATTATATTTGTCTGTATCATTTTGAACTCTTGACGTTTAATTTCATCAATAATTATCTTACAAATAAAAATAAAGTATTATTCTAGTTGTAGAGAAATTTTCCAACCAATAAAAGTTAAGATTTGAACTTTATTTCGTAAATGGACCTTCCTAAATTTATTTTTTTAATTTATTTAATACTTTTTGAAACCAAAAATAGAACGAAAAATTCTGCTTTAACAGTGAAAAAGGTTGAAGAATTTACTGCAGTTGAAATCTCTTTAAAGAAACATTTCTCTTTTAAATCCTTCTTTTAAAAAGAGTTGAAAAGAAATGAGATACCTTTATTTTTTAGACGAGAAAATTACAGTTTAGTTTTTCTTGTAAAATTTTTTGACGTCGAATTCATCTACTTTTTTCTTTCATCTTTTTATTAAAAACTGTTTGTCAAAAAGTATAATAGAGAGCGGTAATCTTTGAATTTTTACTTGAAGTTTTATAAAGATATAAAGTAATTTGTAAAAAGAAGAAAAAAGAAATTACAAAAAATACAGTAATTATACTTTTTCATATGAATATTTTTTTGTTTTTATAACCGTAATAAATATTAATCAAATAAAAGCACTGCTATGGCTATTAAATTTTAATGGTCTAGAAGTTGGAAATGAATACTTCAAAATCTTGGAATACTAAAAAATCCAACGGTATACATGTATATATGAATTAATGTTATCATATATATAGAGGATACAATATATAAAGAAGTTATATTTTCAGCTTCAGTATTAACACCCCTAAAAAATAGTTTTCTGACTTCTCTTTAAAACTCTCTAATTTTATATTCTGCAATTTGGAATCTTTATGCTTTCTCCAAAAAAGACGTCGGAGTAACTTAACAAAAGCATATGAGAAATGTCAAAAAATAAACAAAAATATCTAGACGAAAATGGGAATTATGTCGAAAAATATAATATATATATTCGAAATATATTCTACCTTTAAAATAATGTGTCTTCGAAAAATGAACAATTTTCTTACGTCTAAAAATTAGGATAAATCTTTTGGGGTTGCTTTCATAATTGAAGTATTAGTATAAAAAGTTATAACATACATAAATTATTTTCATCATTTGTGAAAGGATGTAAATTCAATTCATTTCATCTCTATTTTAAATTTTTTTATTGAAAACAAGAAAATAATAAGAGGATTTTCTTGAAAAATATCACTTGTCCTCTAGGAATCCGCTTCTAAGACTATGTAAAATATATTACGGTAGTAGCAATAAAAAATACCTCCTAGTGCGTGAAGATATTTGTTAGGCATTTATTTACGATGTATTTCCAATTTTCTGAACATGTTTTTTTTCCAAAACGATCTCGTAAACGAAAGGAAACATAAATGCATAGAAAAATAAAGATAAAATATAAAAGTCATGATATGCAGTGGAATGTATATTGCTCATAAGAATATCCCTATTTTTTCGTTTACGCTAAATAAAACAAAATTGGAAACACGTAGGAGAAACTGGAATTGTTTTTGTTTGGAATAAAGTAGTTTATGAACTAAAAAGAAATACTCTGAAATACATATCCTGAACGATTCATTCAGTTTCAGAGGGCTTCTTATTTGCAAGTATACGACGCAAAAAGATGGGTAATGTGTGGTGGGAAGCACACACTCACCCAAAGTCTAGTACATTTTACAAATATTCAATGTGTGCATTTCTGATCATCCGATACTCATTTTAATGGTATTCCAGTTCCAGCCATCACTCAATTCCATCTTTCAATTGATCACTCAATTGTTTTTATCTATGTCAGTCACATGAGAGGTGATTCGTGCCAGCTATGTTATCGGCATTGAGGGTACAGTGCGAAAAACGAAGCACAGTTTACTCCAAATAACTTTCGATCTTATAATCGGATCTTCATGTTCTAAAACTTAATATTAATGGTTCAAGAGGAATATGCTAATTAATTAGTAAAGAAATCGGAAATTAAGTTAAGAAATCAGACACAAAACCCGCTTTTTTCTGAATAAACATACCTTATATTGACGGATTAAGATTTTTGATCCCCAAAATTGAGGGGTTAGCCACAATCAGGGAAATTTGGTCCCAATAGTTTGGTCAGAAGAGCAGTCCAGAATTTGAACCATTTTACGTAAATTTTTGAGTATTTTGCCTTATCTCACGTATTTTGCCTTTACGTATTTTGCCTTATCTTAAGAGACTTGAATAAATGTTTGGCAGACTATTATGAAACTCGTTTTTTCAAAGATAATTTAATAAAAAAAACAATTAATAATAATAATTTTTTACTTTTATTATTTTATTTAACAATGTCGAAAAAAATTGAATTTTATGTTATAAATAGTTTTGCATAAGTTGAAAAAATAGAATTTTAAATGACTTAACTTAAAATATCGTCTGCACTAATTAATAGGCATTTTTGAGGTCAATCTCTCGAGCCATTATAATTGAAACTAAGAGGGTGTTAAGGAACAGTTTTTTCGAAGTGCATTAACTTACAAGTGCATTAATATAACATGTATATTATACCACATTGTAATATAACAAGTGCATTATACTACATTGTAATATGACAAGTACATTAATACATTACAAGTAATTTCGCAAGTACATTAACTTGCCAACGAAAAACGTTTATGTTATATCCTAATGCCAACTAGTGATTCCCAAAGTCTATGTACCCCGAATGCCAACAATACTGAAGATACACATCACTGCTTCTTTGACTGAAATTGTCAGAACTTCCATTGGGACGTAGGTCGGATAATCAAGAGTGCACACATTGAACATTTGCAATGTGTACCAGACATTGGATGAATGTCCATCTTATCATACATCACCTGTCTTAGTACGTCACATATTTGCAAATAAACAGCCTTTTGAATCTGAGCAAATGAATTAGACTAACCCTAAATTTATTTCATTTCATTCGGTAGTTATATTTGTTTAAACAACTATGCTTAAGACAATTCATTTAGAGTTTTCTATCCTACTAAAAAGTATATGAAAAACAACGACAATTTGTCACGTTTTTTTAGTAAAAGTGAAAGTTATTTTTTGAAAATAATATATTTTGTACCGTTTATACTTTAATCTCAGCTTAGATTAGTTTTAACTAGTTCTTTTGCCAATAAACACTGGCC